GAAGCCCAGAGTGGGGCTGCAGTTGGGTATTTCCCTTCCTTGAGCTTGGCTGGGCTCTAGTAAAACCTCAGTCAGGCTCTGGTAAAATAGTTTCTCTTGAAAGTCTTGTTAAGAACAGAGTCATTTGGTGTATTTTCTCTCCCCCTTCTGGCAGTATGGGGGGATTTTTCTCTGATCTTCATTGAAAGAACCTGGTAGAGCTCCTGGAGGTGAAACTCAGGAAAGTGTGGGTCCTCCCTAAGGCTGAAACCCCTGGTATTTTTACAAGCTCTTCCAGATCGAGCCTCCAACAATTCATCAATTACGGTTCAAGTTTCCCTGGTACTGGTTCCCACAGAGGTTGTGCTCTTGGGCTTCATCTTTGGTAAGCTGTGATTCACTGTATCCATCTGTTGGTTTCACCAATTTATGGGACAGAAGTTTGCCTGTGACCTCAGTCCTCTGCTGGATCTAAGAAAAAAATTTTTTTCAGTTTGTTAAGCTTTTTTATTGTTGTTAGTATGGGAGCAATGACTTCTGAGCTCCTTACCTGCCAGATTGGAAACTGGAAATCTGGGTTGTCATTTCACATTCTTTTTTTTTTTAAATTTAATTAATTAACTTTATTTACTTTTAAAAATTAATTTTTATTGGAGTATGGTTGCTTTTCATTTCACATTCTTGATAGTGTCCTTTGAAACATGAAAGTTTTTAATTCTGATGAACTACAACTTACTTTTCCTTTTGTTGTTTGTGCTTTGGTGTCCTGTCTAAGAAACCATTGCCAAATCCAAGACCATGAACATTTACCCCTTAGGTTTCCTTCTAAGCATTTTATAGTTTGGCTTTACATTTTAGATGTTTGGTCTATTTTGAGTTGATTTTTGAAGTAGGAGTGTAACATTCTTTTGCACGTGGATATCCAGTTGTCTGAGCACCATTTCTTGAAAAGACTGTTTGTTCCCCATTTAACTGTATGGGCACTCTTATAAAAAAAAGCAAATTGACTCTAGATGTATGGGTTTATTTCTGGACTCTAAATTCCGTTCCATTAATGTAGATGTCTATTATTATTCCAGTAACACATCATCTTGATTACATAGTAATCCTGATTATGTAAGTTTTGAAATGAGGAAGTATGAGTCCTCCAACTTTGTTCTTCTTTTTCAAAATTGTTTTGGCTATTCTTGCATTTCCACACAAAGTTTAGCTTTAGCTCATCAATATCTGCAAAAAATGGCAGCTGAGATTTTGATAGGGACTATCAAAATCAGTAGATTAATTTGGGGATTATTGTTATCTTAATAATATTGTCTTTCCAAATCATATATATGGATGTTTTTCCATTTATTTAAGTCTTCTAAAATATCGTTCAAGAATGTTTTACAGTTTTCAGTGTCCAAGTCTTGTACTTCTTTTGTTAAATTTATTCTTAAGTATTTTATTCTTTATGATGCTATTATAAGTAGAATTGTTTTCTTAATTTCATTTTTGGATATTTCATTGCTTTTATATAGAAATACAACCATTTTGTATACTGACCTTGTGCCCTACAGTTTTGCTGAACTCATTTATTAGCTCAAATAGTTGTTTGTGTATGTGTGAATTTCTTAACTTTTCTATTATACATAAGATCATGTCATTTGCAAGCAGAGATAGTGTTACTTCTTTCTTTCCAGTGTGGATGCCTTTTTATTTCTTTTTCTTGTCCAATTGCCCTGGCTAGAACCTCCAGTGCAATGTTGAATAGAGGTGGCGAGAGCAGACATCCTTGTCTTGTTTTTGATTAGGGAGAAAGCTTTAGTCTTTCTTCATTAAATATGAAATCATTTTTTAATGGATGCCTTTTACCAGGCACCTGATTATTATCATCTCCATTGTTCAGATGAGGAAACTGGGGCTTAGAGAGGTTGACTAAGTTGTCAGATCATATAGCTGGTAACTAGAGACTCAGGATTTGAACATGTTTGGTTGTCTCCAAAGGCTTTTTCTTGGTAGTTCCCCTCTGCCTGGGAGCAGCCAGCAAGGGGAGAGAGCCCTAGAAAAGAAGGGGAGCAGTGAGGGCTCGGTGGGTAGAAGATTGAACTTTCTCCACACTACCACTGACCATTCCAATACCATGTCCACCTCCCACCCTGAGACAGTGGCACATTCACTGTGTGGCCTGCCTCTCTGCTTTTTCATCAGCCGCCATTGCTGAACACTGGCAACATTCTCTGCCATCTGAGGTAGGTCCTGCCACTGTCTCTGCCTCTTCTCCAGAGGGCTGGGGAGTCCAAGGTAAAGCGTTTGCTAGGAAATTAATATGTTGGGCGCAAAGAAATGCAGTACTGTTTCTTCTCCAGCCACACAATATTGCTTCACAAAATGCTAGGGCATTTTTCAGAGACCATTTACTCCCCAGGCTTTGCCCTCACGTTATGGAACCTCTGGGGCAGTTTCTTCATTTATAAAATAGGGATTTTTATGAGAATTAATTGAGACACTGTGTAAAGAGTTCTGTATAATGCCTGACATGCAGTAAAGGCTCAATAGATGGTAATTATTATTATTTTAACACTTTTCCTTCCACAGTTCAAAGGAGAACAGTTTAATTTTCAGTAAGCTGTTGCATGCTGAATACTGGTCAGTGTGCATTTCAGTGCCTACATTCCTCTTACTTTGGGCCCTACTCTGAATGCTGAGAAGATTTTCATGGACAGTGGGAACCTAAACAGTTCTTCCCATTGGCCTAACAAGGCCTCCATGGAGCTAGGGTGACTTTATGGAGAAATACCAATTCTTATTCTAGGTGGAGGACTCTGGATCTTTAAAAAGGATGGTAAGTAAAATACCAACAAAGCAATGGTGGGAACCGCAGGCCTGAGCCCCAGAGGATAACTGAGTTGAGAGTCAGCCGGAATGTCTGCTTCTCCTCCTATTTCCATCAGGCACCCCTGTCCCGGGAGCTCCAACACATGGAAGACCCCGAGGTCTCCTGGTCACTGCTTGGCTCCTCTGGAAGCCCTGTCCATGGGCACGTGGGGAGGGAAGGGCAGGGATGGCGGGATGCTGCCTCCTACACCAGACACCGGGCACTCCTGCGCCCTTGCCCGGATGTCAGTCAGCCTTTGTATGCTCTCTGCAGGTCAGGAGGAAGCTCAGAGATGAGCTGTGCTGCCCAGAGTCCCTGAGCCATGCCACCTCCATTCTAAGACCTAGTGCAGTGTTGCATCGTGCTGTGTGGTGCCGAGCCCAGATTCACACCACACAGGTCGGAGTTTGAAGCCAGATAAAACTCGGTTCTAGTCCCAGTTGTGTGACCTGGACAAGTAATATCTCCTCTCTGAGCCTCAGTTTTCTCCTCTGAAGAGGAGGGGACAATAAAATGTTGCTGGAGACCTTATGGAATATGGTGGTGGATGATTGGAAAATGTTACCTTGTTCTTAATTGCTTAGCCTTACTGGGCCTCAGTTTCCACGTCTGTAAAGTGGGGATCACAATTGTGCAACTGTAGACCCCACAGTAAATGACAGAGCCCAATCTAATTATGTCACAGGCAGGATATGATGGTAGAAGACAAACGGAGAGTGGGATGGAAAGAGAGGAAATGTTCTGTGGGGTGAGGTGGCCAGATGGAACTTTGCTGAGGAATGAAACTTGCGATGGAGAGTGATTCTGAGACAAGCTGGGACTTGGGACCCAGGACCCTTTGCTGCAGTGCTAGCACCTGGACAGACATCTTGAGCAACAAAATACAAAGAATCCATAAGGAACTAAAAATAACTGCATGCATGTGCAGTTGGGGCAAATTATGGACAACAAGGTACAAAAAGACCAAAAATCCCAACTGCCACTTCTGAGGATCCGGTCGCAAAAGCAGGGGGTCGGGAGCAAAAGCAGGGCACTGCACATGCCCGCTGCACACACCACCACCAAAGGGGTGGGCAAACCACCTAAGCTACCCCTCCCGCTGACCCCTGGACCCACCCCTACCCTCAGCCCATATAAGGAACCAGTTCACTCCCCACACCCCACACCCCTGGTCGGGGAGGGAGCAAGCAAGGGAACCTGTTGGTTGTTCTCGTTTCCAACCCCTGCAGCAGGGGCCCCGGTAAAGCCTGGCCTGGATTTCTTGCCTGGCCTCTTATCAATTTCTATTTATTAAGGAGCCCAAGAACCCTGGTCGGTAACAATTTAACAGGCAGAGAAGAAGCCAGACACTGCCTGTGGGGTGAGGGATGGTGCAGAGAGGCCCAGAAGGAGGAATAGTACAAGCAGAAGGAGAAGCCCTATTCTGGGATCTTCCAGCTGTACCTCGCTTCGCTGGGAATCCATGTAACCCAGCTCTATGCTGACAAACCATTGACTAAGATAAGACAAGTGCATGATAAAATCAGTCCTAAAAAGGGCAAAACAGTGTTGAGGGCATAAAAATGGACTGCAAAGCCAGCCTTCTCATTCCTATGTGCTCGTTCACACAAAACCATGTTCATGAATGTTTAGAGGGACTTTATTCATAATCGCCCCAAACTGGAAACAACTTAAGTGTCCTTCATTGATCAGAGGATGAACAAGCTATCCCTATAATGGAATACTACTCAGAAATAAAAAGGAACAAACCACTGGTAAGGAAACAGCACGTAAATCCTAAATGCATTATGCTAAGGGGAAGAAGCCTGACTCAGAAGGCTGCCTCCTGTATGGTTCCACAGATAGGATATTTTGGAAAAGGGAGTAGCTGGGGTTGACTATAAAGGAGCATAAGGGAATTTTGGGGGGTGATGAAGTGATTTGATGTCTGCACTGTGGCGACAGTTACACAACTGCATGTGTTTGTCTAGACTCATAAAACTGTGCATCAAAAAGAGTCCATTTGAGGTCTTCCCTGGTGGCCCAGTGGTTGGGAGTCTGCCTGCCGATGCAGGGGACACGGGTTCGTGCCCCGGTCCGGGAAGATCCCACATGCCGCGGAGCGGCTGGGCCCTTGAGCCATGGCCGCTGAGCCTGCGCGTCCGGAGCCTGTGCTCCGCAACGCGAGAGGCCACAACAGTGAGAGGCCCGCGTACCACAAAAAAAAAAAAAAAAAAAAAAAAGAGTCAATTTGAAATTATAGCTCAATGGATAAAGCACGTGGGAACTGGTGTCCAGGTGGATGAGTGCACATTTTAGTCAACTTTTCCTGGTATTTCCCACAGCTTCTAGCCTAGTGATCTTCACACAGGAGGAGCTCAACAATCACAGATCACAACAAATTCATTGTAGCCTCATCGAATTCTGTGGTGGATGGAATACATCATATATTTCCAGACCTAACTATGATTGCTATCAGTGCATGTAAGGAAAGAGGCAGGGCAAGAAGGTGGAGAGAGCATGCGGCTGGGAGTCGAAACTAGAAATGTCCTGGGCCCTTGCCTGCCAGATGACTTTGGGCAAATCACTCCAGTAATCTCTAGGAATCAATCACTGATCTGTCTAGCCAAAGGGTTGTTGAACGGGTCAACTGGAAGTAACATGCTGCAAACTATAAAGTATTGTACACAAATCAGATATTCGTATTGTTATTGCTATTGTACTTTCAAACAGGGAATGTGAGTGTCAGGATTTAAGTGACCCGTCCAAGAAAAGAATCCTAAAGTGAAACCCCATCCTTGGCCATATCCTCTGCGCTTCTCAAGTTAAGGGAAAAGTTGATGCTCTTAAAACACAGTAGAAAGCAAGCCTTGAACGAGCTATTCTAGGCAATTTAGAAGCCAATAATATGAAGCTTGCAAGCTACTTAACTTATGGGAGCCTCTGTTTCCTATTTGTTGTCGGGAATCCATTTGTTGGACAACAAAATGTTAATATACAAAGTACCTGCGTCCTGTGTGCCGTGGCTCGTGTGAGGCATCAGGACCCACGCAGAGCAGAGAGGAACAAGTCTGCAGAGCCTTCAGGACTGAGGCAATGGAAAGGCCATCCTAGAGGATGACAGAAGGAAGCCCCGAGGCCTTGGTGGTCTCTACCACAATCTTGTTCAGTGGGCAGCGGGGTCACAGATTCATCTGACTGCTGGGAAGTCGTCTGGCTAATGTCAAAGTCATGTTTTACCATTGCAGGAAATGTTTCCATTTGATAAGCAGGTGGTGTAGAAGCGGTGATGGGATGTCTTTATTTTGCTGCTGGAACAGAAATTTGATTGGACGTTTTTGAGTGTCACCCTATGTATTAGCTCTGTCTTCGGCTTGGGGGAATCCAACCACGAGGGGGACACAGTCCCAGCCCTCAAGGGGTTTATAGTCCTAGACTCAGGCTAGGGAGCTGTTGTATAAACAAGCCCTGTCGAGGGGTAGAAGGTTACAGGTCCACGAGGGACACCAGGCAACCTGCTGATGCTTTCATTTTCGATGGATGTCTACAGGGAGAAAACAGGCTGGTAAGGTCAATTTAAACGTTTGATACATTGAGAGTTCGCTCTCTTATTGTAAATTCATCATTTAAGTTACTCAGAATTTAATCATATTGAAAGTTCCCATTCCTGTCAATCAGGTATTCTCCTTCATGAGGCTCTGACGGAACGGAACCTCTGAATCTGTGAGACTGAGGACCGCACCCTGAGCCATGATGAATTCACCAGGTAAACGCCACTTTGTAAAGGGGAAAAAAGTGCCAACTCACCTACCTGAGAAGTTAGGAAGGGGATGATAGGTCCCTTCTGGGAAGCTGGGCTCCAGTGTCTCAAATGAGGGTGTCAGGGCTCTCCCGCCTTTGTCTGCAAAGCCCCAGTTGGGTGCCTCTGTGTGTGACAGCTGGCTCACAGGGGGTGACAGATTGCAGTCCCTAAAGAAGGCAGTGTCTGCACCGATTGCTCTAGCAAACTCCCTGGAGGGCTCTGGCCACCCTGGAGTCAGGGACTCCCCCTGCAGCCAGCCCCATCCAAACTGAGGTAGGAGATAGATGGGCCCCCCTGGGCTGAGCAGCTGGGGAGCTCGTCAAACAGAGTAAATTGGAGCTCTATTTTCACTAAACACGCCAAGGACAAAGTTAATAGCAGAAGCTGAGCTCTGCTGGAGTAAAGAGCTCGGGGGACCACATCTATGACTCCTGAGGTCAAGGAGACCTCCCCGACTGCACATGTGCAGGGAGGCTCCTCTGGGGTCAAAAGGGGAGGGAGCGCCATCCCACAGTAGGTGTTGTCAACCTCCCCGTAAGCCTCCACGCCGGAATCCATCTTGGCAAAAAGATGTGCACGCATATTGTGCGGAGGGCCCTAAAGACAGCTCGGATGTGGGAAAAGAAGCGGGCTAATTGACCAGAAGAGAACAAAGACCAGGAAGAACTGCATCACCTCTCTGGCAGGCTTCTCATTCGGGACACACACACTCTTCTCTGGGTGTGTATTTCTGCCTTGCTTTTGTCTTAAATAAACATACCGTGTCTCTGTGTGCTCTGCCACATGTGGTGCTGTGTCTCTAATAATAAACTTTGTGCCCAGTTTTGCTTCCTTGAATCAGGATTCCTGCTTTTCATCCAGGCTACTCAGGTTCAGTCTCTGGGTAGGGAGATAAGATCCTGCTTCAAGACTGCTCACTGCTGTCTCTCCGAGAACAAAACCACTTGGACCAAGCACTTTCAAGCAGGGCAGCTTTGACACGGGGAGGGGTGGCTCTACAAAGGAAAGGAGAGTGAGTGAACACCACTCACGTCCTCCTGAGGCCTTCTGGAGACAAGCAAGGAGCCTCCTGCCTTCCTTTCAGGAGGTACTACAAAGTCTCATTCTGTGTTATCTATCTACAGCATTAGGATGTGAGAAATGGTGAAAGCCACGAAGCATGTGCCCTGCTAACGCAACCAGCGCTGGCCTACTCCCGATTCTCTTCACTTACACACAAAGCAGGTGCAGTGAAAGGAAACTCCAAAGCCGATTTGGATTCCAGTGTTAACTCTGGTCCTACTAAGTCAACGCTTTTGAGCAAGTCTCTGAAGCCTGTTTCCTCATATGAAATGAGGCTAATGTGCCCATGTCACAGGGTAGTTGTGAGAATGAGGTGGATTAAGGGGTGCAGAAGTGCCTAGGATAGTGCCTGATGCTTGATACGTGTCTACTAAATATGTATTTGGCCTGTATTTAACGCGTGTATTTACATGTAAGCACATGTATTCAACAATACTACTACACATATTACCCACGTGTCTGGCAGCGGTTGATGAACCCCACTGGAGAATTCCCACATAGCTTTCTCTCTCTTTTTTTTTTTTTTTTGGCCGAAGTACACGGCTTGCGGGATCTCAGTTCCCTGACCAGGGACTGAACCCGGGCCGTGGCAGTGAAAGCCCCAAGTCCTAACCACTGGACCACCAGGGAAGTCCCCCCACATACCTTTGTAGGAAGTTTTTCCTCTTTGCCTGAACTAACAGGGATTGTTGTGGCCGGGTGTCAGCAGTGGCTTAAATAGCACCTTCTTATTCACAGGAAGGAGGATTTGAGAACTCAGTTCTGGAATAACTTTGTCTTATTTTCTTGCTGTTCTGTCTTTTTACTAACGGGTCTGGGGAAGAAACAAGATCACACCATTAATTCGTTTTTAAAAAACATCATTGATTCTTCAAATGAAAAATGAAAGCAGACAGTGGGCAAGGAATCCGAGCACAGGAAGCGAGCATGGGTGAGAGATATTTCACCCAGACGGGAGCAAGCTTGGTAAATTATTCCTACCCCACCATGACCAGCAACTTTGGGTTTTGGAATTCAGAACCTTGCTTTCTAGAATGTCTTGTACGGTAGTTATCTTTTCAGAGATCCAGTTTGATCATCCCTGTTCTATTCCAAGAATACTTCATTGAACTTTGCTTACCTAACAGCGCCCATATTCCAGTTCTGCATCCTGAGATGTGTCTGAGGTCGCCTTGATTAGAGTTTTGAGAGATGTTAAATACCATCTCTTGGTTTTACGTCCACAGATGACTAATAATTTGTGTGTTTATTTGTCTGACTTTCAGAGGGCAATCTTATTTTCCTTTTTTGTTGGGTAAAGGCAGCTCATTGTTTCCCTATGTACTGCCAACAGACTGGTTTTCTTGAGGGAAAACATCTGTACAAAGTCTGGTTTCAGGTCATACTTGGACAGATGGTGCTGTTCTGTGTACTTGAAGTTGGAGTCTCATTTCTGTTTCTCTTGCTTACTGGGGCGAGGGGGGGGGAAAGGAACAAACACATGGATGGTATTTTCCTATTCTGGAAAAAATTTTTTTCAGTTATTTTTTACTTATGTTTAAGATTGTTATAACATTCCATCCTTTATTTCCTCCCCACTAGAGTTCCCCACAGCTATGAGACTCATTTGTTTTAAATAACCTTTTTTAAAAAAAAATAAATAAAGCAATATTCATTAGAAGAAAGTTGGATAGACCAAGGTAACAGTTACTTTTACAATTATTTTTGATTAGCACACAAAAAATTCTCCCAATCTGAATGATTTAGTCTATGTCTGGGTTCAAGTATGTTTTCCACTAATAATAGTTAGCCGCAAAACAGTATCCTGTTCTATTGCAGAATTTCTGATTGGTAATTTATACCAATGTACTGGGACTCTAAAATAGCCTCTTGCTTTCTTTCACTGAGCTTGAGGCAAATATCAAGAATGGATAACTTTATTTGTATCCACAATTTTGAAACTAGCTTTAGGAGACATGAGAGCAGGGGTGCTCCGTGAAAACCTGTGTCTATGTACCATGAAATCGTTCTTCCTCCTTATCTTTCTTTATATCCTTTTCCCTAATAGAGAACTAGCTGTGTTTTAAACCATTATATACGTAAATCTATTTTGAACAGTTCCTTGTCTAGAATGGACTGAATTGCCTTTTGCATATATGGTTCTTTAATGATTTCTTTGCTCCTGAGGAGCAGTAACCCTCAGAAATACTTCAAAAAATCTCTAGGAACAAGGTGATTGTGCCATTCTTCATACTCTGCCTCTTGAATCTGAGCCCTCTCTTCAAACCTTGCCTAAAAGTCTCCTTCTTTCAGGAGGTCTCTCTCCTGCACCATCCCTTCCTACCTTATAAGTGGATGTGATCGCCCTGCCCACAAATTCCAATCATATTCTCTCCCAGTTTTCTGGCACTTATGCTAACCTGGTGTGTGTTTGTGTACTGTTTTATTCTTCTTGTGGGTTATGAGCTCCTTAAAGGCAGGTTTAATATCTCATTCTTTGAGTCCCTTGCAGCTATAGTGCCTTATAAATAAGAGTTGCTAAGTATTTATTAATCAAATTCTAGAAACGGAATAAGTCTGGTCTTCTTTGTTTCACTTACGTACTTACAAATATTTAAATGAAATGTACATTTAACAGAGTTGTAAAGGTACAAACTACTAATCAAAAAGTAACAATACTTCGTAGACTTTTTTTTTTTAACGTTTAGATGCAGGAGTAGAAACTGTTATGAAATCTTTAAATAATGTTCTCAGTTTTCAGAGTAAGTTGTTGAATTGCCAGCTCAGAATCTGGGCTCCCTTCCTGAAACCAGATGACACATTTCTTGCCCCTCCCATGCCAAGGGCCCCTCCCATGCCAAGGGCCCCTCCCTCTTTGTGGGCGGGGGCTTCCCTTCTGCAGCTTGGCACTGAGATCTAAACCTATATTGGCAAAGTCCTCTTTCTTCTCACCTTCGCGTGGAGGTGTGTTCATTTCTCTAAGCATTGTGCAACAGGACCAGTCCTTGTGGGAGACCAGAAAAAAAAAAAAGCCAAATGTTCAAAGAAAAGTCCCTCACCCCTCCCCATACTTCTCACTAGCACTTCCAATGTGTACTGCGTACTCGGATAAAATTGCGACCCATAAAATCCGTCAATAGAGACAGCATAGTTTTCATTATGGAAACTTGGGCTAAAATAATAATGTGGTCATTTTACAATACTGTGAACTACTGCAAGGTCATCTAACATTTTTGTTCTCATTTTGCGATTGAATTATAATTGTATAACTTGAAATCACAAAGAAGTGTTTTTAAAATACAAAAAGGGCAAATTAGCGTTCTTCCGTAAACTCTCTATAGTAATTTTTAAGGAGGGAAATAATTTAAAATATCCCAGTGGGCTTTTCTTTTCTTTTTTTTTTTTTTGGCCATGCTTGGAAGTGGGGTTGACCTTAAAACTTTTTGATCTCAAAGAACGCTTAATTAATCTGATGTGAAGAAAAAATAATAATCGCTTTATTTCTCTGGCAGTCTAATCACAGACCACCCCCTTTTCCCCAGCCTTAGGGGAGGGAGCGTTTAATAACGGTCTGTGTAAACTGATGCCCAGGCCGTAAGAGTTCGCAGGAGCTCTGCTCGAACAAGTTAAAACCAAGCAAAGAGCAAAGGGCGGCCCTCGAAACAAAAAACTGCTCAAACCAGCCAACGCAGAGGATCGCAATGGCTCTGCTGGCGCGGATCCTCAAAGCCCGTCTGAGCCCGGCGCCCGAGCGGGGCCCTTGGCAGCCTCGGCCCACGGACGCCAGGCTCCCGGCGAGGGCGCGGGCCGAGGACAAAGGAGTCGGGCGGCCGGGGGCGCCGCGGGCCGGGGGCCGGGCAGAGGGACCCCGGAGCCTCGCCGCCATGCCGGGGCCCCGGACCCTCGCCAACCTCGTGGAGCTCTTCTGGAAGGACGGCTTCAGCCGCATCCACGAGATCCAGGTAGCTGCGCGCGGGAGACCGGGAGCGCGAGGGGGCTCGCTCCGGCGGGAAGGCGCCGGGGACGAGGCCCGGGGAGGGAGCGCCGGGAAGGGGAACCGGGGAGAGGATCCCGGGAAGGACGCCAGAGAGGGAACCCCAGGAGGGAGCGCCGGGGAGGGCATCCGGGGAGAGGAAACCGGGGAGGGAGCGCCGGGGAGGGGACCTGGGACAGGATCCTGGGGAGGGAGCTCCGGAGAGGGGACCCGGGAGAGGAAACCAGGGAGGGAGCGCCGGGGAGGGGATCCGGGGAGAGGATCCCGGGGAGGGAGAGCCAGAGAGGGGACCCGGGAGAGGATCCCGGGGAGGCAGCGCCGGAGAGGGGATCCGGGGAGAGGAAACCCGGGAGGGAGCGCCGGGGAGGGACCCGGGGAGAGGAAACCGGGGAGGGATTCCAGGGAGGGAGAGCCGGGGAGGGGGCCCGGGGAGGCACCGGGGAGGGGCGCCGGAGGAGGGGGTCACGGGCAGGGGCCGCCCTGGAGCCGCTGCGCCCCCACGCGCCGTACGCTCCGGCGGGCTGGCCTGCGGAGTCGGGGCGCCGGGAGCCGCCACCCGGCCTCCCGGGACCGTCCCGAGGGAGGCCCGTGAGCAGCGCCTCTCCCGCGGTGGGTGACAAGCCCTGCGGGTCTTTACGCGGCCGAGGACAGGTTGCGTATGTTCCTAGTCCTTTTTGTTTGTGTTTTATAATTGAAAAAAAAAAAAAAAACAAACCTAAAAATAACAGCGAGGGGTTCGGAGGCTCCGAGTTATGTGATCTCTAAGTGATGGGAAGACAAACGAAAGTTCGTGAACCTCGGCGTCAAGCCAGGTCTGGGCAGGGACTTAGGAAGAACCCAACCGGTCCAGCAACCCCGTCGGAGTGTTGGGAGCCCGCTCGTTGTACGGTGGCTCATCTTGACCCTGAGTTTTGCCCTTCCCGTGCCCACCTCAAATCGCGTCTTTCATTGCAAGGTGATCCCCACCTTTCAGCGTCGTCAAATCCATTCGCTCCCATTTCCTATGGTAGCTGCTCGCTGCTTGCCTCCGTCATTTTCTCAGGGCTCCCACCCCAGCACCCGCTGTGATTTCTGGGACCTCGTCCAAGAACACCCTCCTTCCCCACTACTCACTTCTTTTTGTTCAGAGCTTACCCTTCAACCTTCAGAAACTTCTCAGAGGAAGCTTTTTGTAACCACCCACCTGGGTTTTGGTCATTCGTTCGTACGTTCATTCCCTCAACCCTTAACCTACATGATGGTGCAGAGGCCACAGCTACAGCTGGAGAAGCAGAAACTTACTTCATTGATAGAAAAACAAAACCAAAAACAGTGGGGCAAGAGGAACAATCTTAATTTGACTGAAATTCCAGTTGGCCCCTCCTCTCCATGCCCCACATGAACTCTACACGATTTCTTCCCAAACATGTTTCTGGGGGTCAAAAATGATTTTTTCTGTTCCATGTGGAATCTGAACATAAGCTATCAAGATGATAGTTTTCAAATACGGTAAAAAAAAAAAAATTGTTATTTATTTATTGACAAGTTCAATACAGGTTGCTGTAGACTGGAGCATTGGTTGTTTACTAGAGCTGGTTGTTCTAGTAAAACCCTCTCCCCGAGCTCTCCAGGTCACCCCTAAGGCATTTCTAAGGAGGAAGAGAATTATTCTGTTACCTCAAGTCCAGTTTCCTTTCACTCAACTTGTGATCACAGAATGCTGTCTCACAAGGGATTCATCTACAGGGTCCAGGTCTTTCACTTTACATGTGGAAAAGGCCCCAAAGTGTCGGCTGAGTGACTTGCCCACAGTCACATAGCTGGTTAGCGGCAGAGCAGACACAGCGATCAAGGTCGCCAGGTATGACAGAGCAGGAGGGTCCTGCGTTACGTAGCAGCCCTTTACAAGCACCTGTGGAATCTTGGCCAATCAGTTCTTCTCTCTGGACCACAGTTTCCTCCTCTGTGCAGCAGTCGAGCAATCCTCATCCATCTCACGGGTTATTGTGAGGTCGTGTGATCAGGGCTGTGGAAGGTCTTTGTAAACTGTAATAATAACCAACACATAAGAAGAATGAACAGTTCTGGAACTCTTTTCATGTGCCAGGCACAGTTTTAAGTCCTCCATGTGAGGTAATCTCTATTATTTCTCCATTTTGCAGGTGAGGAAACTGAGACACAGTGGAACCTAACTTCCCAAGGTCACCCAGCTAGTAAACTGTGAGCTGAGATTCCAACTCCAGAGTCTGTGCTCCAGCTGGCTACACAAACTGAGTCTGTGGCTGACTGTATCATTCCTTGGCCCTCCACCAAAAAGGGCCGTAAACTACCTGTGTCCTTCATCTCATTCTTTTTGCCCCTTGGTCAGTGGCTCCCTTGTCTGATTGTGCCCATTCAGTAGCTGGATGTGCCCGAGGAGTGGCCCATCTCCCAGTAGTTCCGGTAACAGTCATCCTATCAGAAACCTGGAGAAATACCCTTTTGGGGTCACCTGTTTGTTAGGCAGAGTGATCTCTTGGCACCTGACACTTCCCAGTTGAGTCTGAGTGTCTTCATCTCCAGGCAGCGGGACTTCAACTAGGTCCACAAAGAAGCAAACAGCAGAAGAGTGGAGAGATGACAGACCCTCTGGCCTGCCATTTCCGTGGTTGAGAGTTGGGGTGATAAGAAATGTTGGCAGATGCCAAAGAGGGATGTAGTCATTTTCCCCATGCTTAGCCCTGCCTATGTCATGCTTTTTTTTTTTGACCACACCACACAGCATGTGGGTTATTAGTTCCCTGACCAGGGATCTAACCCATGCCCCCTGCATTGGAAGCATGGATTCTTAACCACTGGACTGCCAGGAAAGTCCCCATGCCTATGTCATGCTGAGCCATGCTGGAGGGTACTTTCTCTCCTTCCTTCTTTAATTATTTAACTGGACTATTTAACCCATTTACATTTATTGTGATTTCTTTTTTTGGTAACAACTTCATTGAGGTATAATTCACATATCATACAATTCTCCCACTTAAAGTATACAACCATCACCACAATCAATTGTAGAACATTTTCATAACCTTAAAAAGAAACCCCATATTGTATTCTTTAGCAATCACTCCCCAACCCTCTCATTCCCCCAGCCTTAAGCAACCACTAATAATTTACTTTCTGTCTTTATAGATTGGCCTATTCTGGACATTTCATATACATGGAATCATATAATGTGTGGTCTTTTTTGTCTGGCTTCTTTCACTGAGCATAACGTTTTCAAGTTCGCCCATGTTGTAACATGTATTAGTACCTCATTCCTGTTTATGAACAAATAATATTCCAGTGTGTGGATAGACCACATTTTGTTTACTTATTCATCAGTTGATAGACATTTGGATTGTTTCTACCTTTTGGCTGTTATGTTTTCATTTCTTTGGGTGTATATCTAGGCGTGAAATTGCTGTGTCAAATAGTAACTCTGTGTTTAACCTTTTGAGGAATTGCTAGACTGTTCTAAAGTGGCTGCACTATTTTATATTCCAGCAACAGTGCAAGAGGGTTTTGATTTCTCCACATCCTTGCCAATACTTGTTATTATTACCTGTCCTTTTGATTATAAGCATCCTAGTATGTGGGAAGTGATATCTCATTGTGGTTTTGATTTGCATTTCCCTAATGACCAATGACATTGAGCTTCTTTTCATGTGCTTATTAGACATTTTGATATCTTCTTTGGAGAAATGTCCATTCAAATAATTGCCCAGTTTCTAATTGGGTTATTTGTTGTTGCTGTTTTTTACTCTTGGGTTGTAATAGTTTTTTTATATATTCTAGGCATATATCTCTTATCAAATACGTACTTTGCAAATATTTTCTCCATTCTAGGGATTGTCTTTCACTTTCTTTGTAATGTCCTTTGACATTACGCACATTTTAAAATTTTGATGATGTCCAATCATCTGTTTTTTTCTTTTGTTGCTTGTTCTTTTGGTATCATATCTTAAGACGCCATTGCCAAATCTAAGGTCATGAATATTTATCCCTATGTTTTCGTCCAAGAGTTTTGTGGTTTTAGCTCTTACATTTAGTCTTTGGTCCACTTTGAGGTAGTTTTTGTGTGTGGTGTGAGATAAGGGTACAAATTATTTTTTGTTTGTGGCTATCCAATTTTCCCAGCATCTTTTGTTAAAGAGGCTATTCTTTCCCATTTAATTGTCTTGGCACCCTTTTTGAAAATCCATTGACCTTAGATGTATGGGTTTATTTCTGGGGTCTCAATTCTATTCCAATGATTTAGACGTCCATCCTTATGCCAGTAGCACACTGTCTTCATTACTTTTACAGTAACCTTTGAAACAGGGAACTGTGAGTCCTTCAACTTTGTTCTTCTTTTTTAGGATTGTTTTTGCGGTTCTGAATCACTGGAATTCTGATAGGGATTATGTTGAATTTATGGATCAGGTTGAGAAATATTGCCATCTTAATAATATTAAGTCTTCCATTCCATTGACATGGAATAAATAACTTCCGTTTATGTAGGTCTTTAATTTCTTTCGATGCTCTTTTGCAGTTTTCAGAGTGTAAGTCTTACGCTTATTTTATTAAATGTATTCCCAAGTGTTTTATTCTTTATGATGCTATTGTAAATGGAATTGCTTTCTTAATTTTATCTTTGGATTGTTCATTGCTCGTGTGTGGAAATACAATTGAATTTTGTATATTGATCTTATATCCGGCAAGCTTACTGAACACGTTTTTTAGCAGATATCTTAGAATTTTCTACACGCCAGATCACGTCACATGTGAACAGAGACAGCTTTACTTCTCCCTTTCCAATCTGGGTGCCTTTCCTTTCATTTCTCTGCTGGGGGCATTTTTACAGGTTTATTACAGATTTCCTGCAGGGCGCTTTCTTCACAGGACAGGCTGGGCGGCTGCTGAGTGTCTGAATGAAAGGGGCAGGCAGACCCTGTTTGACTCAGGACAGTCAAGACCCTGCAGTTCATCTACATCCACATTCCTCTCACATTGCTTCACACAGCTAAGGCTTTTTTAAACACATATCTTTAAAGAACTAAGAAAACTTCTATGAATATGATTAATGATGTGAAAATATGTTTACCTCAGGCATACTTAAAGCAACCACTCTTTTTTTGTTTTAATTAATACTTATTGGAGTAGAGTTGATTTACCTTGTTGGGTTAGTTTCTGCTGTACAGCGAAGTGAATCAGTTATACATATACATACATCCACTCGTTTTTAGATTCTGTTCCCATGTAGGTCATTACAGAGCACTGAGTAGAGTTCCCTGTGCTAGACAGTAGGTCCTTATTAGTTATCTAGTGTGTATATGTCAGTCCCAATCTCTCAGTTTATCCCTGCCCCCTCCTCTCCCCCTTGGTAACTGTAAGTAAAGTGGCCACTCTGATTCAGTTCTGCATAATGCAGAGCTTCCCTCTGCCCCAGTTTTCTGCTCCCCTAACATCCAGGAATGTCCATGTCAAAGGTATATCATATCTGTGTATTTTTTTCCTTTTTTGATTTCTCCATGGTTTTGCAGCAGAAACACACACGGGAATATGGAAAAATCTTCAAGTCTCACTTTGGTCCTCAGTTTGTAGTATCTGTTGCAGACCGAGACCTGGTGGCTCAGGTGCTCCGGGCAGAGGGAGCCGTGCCCCAGAGAGCCAACATGGGGTCCTGGCAGGAGTACCGAGACTTACGGGGCAGATCCACCGGGCTCATCTCCGCGTGAGTATGTGAGGCCAGGCTGAGACATGAGCAGGAGCGGGGAGCCCAGGGATGCCCCCCCTCCCTGAACGCTGGGCTCCTAAAAACAGCTATTAATAAGGCACAGAACTCCCAGTGGAATAGTATCAAAAGAGCCTCACGTGTGATCTCCCCAAATCTCCTAAAACCCTCTGGGAAGAGATTTGGTGGCAGGGACAAGGTGGGGAGCCCACTAGCCGAGTGATGGAGAGGAGCCATTTTTCAAGGAACACTCTGTGGCTTTAGGTGTCCTTTCGGTGACCACTGAGGGGGCTGAAGCTCACAGAGCCCCTCTGTGGACAGGGGTGAGGGTGGTGAGCTGTTTTAGGAGACCTCCAGGAGGGGCTACGAACTTCAGCATTGATCGCCATGGGATGATGTTCCTGCCTTGTAACAGACTATGGTTATTATACACCTTTGTGTCTTCCAAGAGCGAATCGGTACAGCCTCAGGTAGGGAGGAGAAAACAGAGCATCTGCAGATCCCCTGGTCCAAATCCCTTTGGTTTAGAAATTCTATCTTTGGCTCTTTTGATATACATGTCCTTACACAGGAACTGGGGAGTAATACCATCGCTCCCCTCTCTTTGCAGTGTCTGTCCTGTCTTCATCCCATTTGGACTGGCAGATCTTGTTGACTCTTTATTGCTGGGAAATTTTTGCAGAGATACTCTGAATTCCTTCCTAGAATATCACTATAAGTAAGATTATTTGGAATTCACTTTATTCTAGGGAGGGTGAACAGTGGCTCAAGATGAGAAGTGTGTTGAGACAAAGAATTCTGAAACCGAAAGATGTGGCCATTTTTGCAGGAGAAATCAACCAAGTTATTGCTGATTTAATTAAAAGAATCTACTTCCTCAAGAGCCAGGCAGAAGATGGGGAGACTGTGACCAACATCAATGACCTTTTCTTCAAATATTCAATGGAAGGTAGGTGAACTCAGGAGGTGGGGAAGATGGAAGAATGGACATTTTACCAAAATATGGTTCTTATCACTCATTGAGCATCTCCTGTGTCCCAGACAATGTGCTAAGCCCCATACATACGTACATGTAATTGTCACAGTGCTAATGGAACCAGGTTGACTGACACTGTTTTACAAATGGGGGAACTGAAAAACTAACCCCCATTTTTAGTGGCAGAAACTTAGTTTCAAATTGACGTCTCTCTAACTCAAGAACCATGCTCCTAATTATTGTTTTAGCATAGTTTTAAAAGCAACAGGAGTCTAGAGGGCAGGTACCACAATCATTCTAACTTTTAAAATCCATGTTAGATGGGTAGCACATTCCCATGGTTCAAACATCAAACCCAAAAAGTACTCATGGAAAAGTCTCCCTCTCTCCTAACCCAGCTAGGTCACCAGCTTCTTCAAGGGATATTTTATGTACATACAAAGAAATATGACTGTGAGTATTCTTTTTACTTAAAAAAAAATTGATAGCATACCAAACATTTTTTCTGTACCTGGGTTTTTGGAGAATTCTATTAGCTTTCCCATTTTTATTTTTATTTATTTATTTATGGCTGCGTTGCGTGTGCCATGTGGAACTTCCCTGACCAGGGATGGAACCCGTGCCCCCTGCAGTGGAAGCACGGAGTCTTAACCACTGGACCACCAGGGAAGTCCAGATTTCCCTTTTAAAAAAAAAAAGTTTCTTCAAATTTAAGTTAAGTTAACTTTTTAAAGTTCTGGTATTAATGCTCTCTAAAAATAGTAACAAAATCGACAGAGAAGTGAGTTGTAAACACACTGAAAAATCCTCCCCATCCCTGGTTCACAGAGGCCCTTTCCTCTGCCCCCTTAGCTCGTCCTGGGGCTCCCGGAAGTGTGGCCAGGAGGAGCCACCTTTCAACTCCCCAAAGTTGGGCAACTGGCTGAAAGGTTGGGCGTTTTGCCTTGTGGGTCTTGAACAGACTGTTGAGCTGAGGGCGCACTGAGGCAGAGGGTTCGTCAGCATTGAACCCACAGCGCCCTGGGGGTCAGGACCTGGTAGAGAAAACCTCAGGGGTAGCACCTGGATCACTTCTTTTTTTAAGTTTTATTTTTTTGGCGAGGCTTGTGGGATCTTAGTTCCCTGACCAGGGATGGAACCCAGGCCCCCTGCAGTGCAAGCGAGGAGTCCTAACCACTGGACCGCCAGGGAAGTCCCTGGACCACTTTTGAAAGTTACATTTATGGCCGGGTATCGTATATTGATGCTGTGAATGATCTAGAAGAAGAAGAAGAAGGGTTGTAACCTCTCTCCCGCGCAGGAGTGGCCACCATTCTTTACGAGAGCCGTCTGGGCTGCCTGGAGAACAGCGTCCCGCAGGCGACGATGGACTACATCGAGGCCCTGGAGCTCATGTTCTGCACGTTCAAGACGTCCATGTACGCCGGTGCCATCCCTAGGTGGCTCCGCCCGCTCATCCCCAAACCCTGGCGGGAATTCTGCAGGTCCTGGGATGGACTCTTCAAATTCAGTAAGAGAAGAGTCAGGGCACCTTTTGTAGAATCAGATGGACCTGACTTTCGTCCTAGTTGTGTATCTAACACTCAGGCAGACAGTGGGTATTACTGTAGGGGCTTCCCCAATGGAGTTACGTGCTATTTTGACTCAAGAACTTTTAGATTGGTTTCTCGAATGAGCAAAAAGCACGTGGGTTGTGACCACAAGTAATGTGACAGATTTCTCACTTTTAAAAAAAATTAATTAATTTATTTATTATTTTTGGCTGCATTGGGTCTTTGTTGCTGCGTGTGGGCTTTCTCTAGTTCTGGCGAATGGGGGCTACTCTTTGTTGTGGTGCACAGGCTTCTCCTTGTGGTGGCCTCTCTTGTTGTGGAGCATGGGCTCTAGGCACGTGGGCTCAATAGTTGTGGCACGTGGGCTCAGTAGCTGTGGCACGCGGGCTCAGTAGTTGTGGCACGCGGGCTCAGTAGTTGTGGCATGCGGGCTCAATAGTTGTGGCTCACGGGCTCTAGAGTGCAGGCTCAGTAGTTGTGGTGCACGGGCTTAGTTGCTCTGCGGCATGTGGGCATCTTCCCGGACCAGGGCTCGAACTAGCGTCCCCTGCATTGTCGGGTGGATTCTTAACCACTGCGCCTCCAGGGAAGCCCTGAAGAGACGATTCTTAACCAAAACTTCTTTCAAAAGAAACACTGTTTTCAAACAGGCCAAATTCACGTTGACAACAAGCTGAGGGACATACAGTGCCAAATGGACCGAGGGGAGAGAGCGAGAGGGGGCCTGCTCACGTACCTCTTCCTCAGCCAGGAGCTGACACGGGAGGAAATCTACGCCAACATGACCGAGATGCTGCTGGCTGGCGTGGACACGGTGAGCTCTCAGCTTTCCTTTCTTCTCAGCAGAGCACAGTTAAAGCTGGGGGCCTTTCCGAGGAATCCGACAGATGGCAGATACTTTAAGGGGACCATGCTTGTTTGTACTAGCTGAATGTCTGCTTCACTGCTGAGGGTCTCCAGGAGAAAACTCGACCTTTTTTCTTTTCTTTAATATAAATAAAGGTGCACGATGAATTCTGTAAATAACATAACCCAATTCTATTACCACACACACAAAGTAGCAATATGTTTTAAAGTTTAAAATCATTCCTGATTTGCAAATATTTCTCAATTGTTTCATAATATCAGAAATGAAGGGACTTCCCTGGCGGTCCAGTGGTTAAGACTTCGCCTTTCAGTGCAGCGGGTGTGGGCTCGATCCCTGGTCGAGGAGCTAAGATCCCCCGTGCCTGTGGCCAAAAACCCCAAACATAAAACAGAAGCAGGGGTGTAACAAATTCAACAAAGACTTTAAAAATAGTCCGCATCAAAAAAATCTTAAAAAACAAAAAAGAAATGAAAAGGGCACAGACATTAAAAACCCTCTTACTTATCATTCAAAATATTCTGGGCTATGGAGAACTTCCCAGTTCATTTGATAAAGTCGGCATAACTTCAAAACCTGCTAAAGAAAGCATAAAGAAAGAAAAGTTTAATAAGCAGTTTGACTTATGAATATGTACATATATCAATTTTAAATCCTAGTGAATAGATTCAGTTAGTGTAGCAGATGAATCGTACACTATGACCAACGAGGGCTCAATATCAGAATGAAACAAAGCATTGCCCATTGATTTGGAGGGGATTCCATACCCTATTACTAAGTGAGAAATGAAGATGCAGAAAAGCATGTATATCCTGTGTTCCCATTAGTAAAGCAGTGGCCCCCGTCCCATCTGTCCGCGTGCACGTGTGTATCGCTAAGTGATTGCTGGACGTGGAGGAAAGTATGGAGCCTGCACCCTGGACGGTTAACATGGGTTCCTGGGCTGGGGCGGGGCTGGTACAGGGGTGTGGAATCCAAGTTCCTTCTAAAAACTTATGTATAATCTGATACCTTTACTCAAGTATAAAAAATGGTATATTTGTGGGTATATGTACAGAAAAAGTTTAAAATTTGCTAAAAGAAAGTGGTGAAATAAGAAAAAGAAGGGCCAGGCTTTTGGTAATTGGTGGAAGAAAAGTCAGCTGAGTGAAATAATTAGGATTAAGACAGTAAATGTGGTGATTTACTGTGTCTCCAACGCACATCTGTAAACACCCTTCTGTTCACACAGAATCCTCTGAGGTAGGTGTTACTGTCTTCATTTAACAGGTGGGAACATGAAACAGCTAAGCTTGCCTCAAGGTTTTTCCTTCACAGGAGTGCTTCCCGGACTTGAGGAAAGCACCAATCTCGTTTTTAGAGGTAGACAAAAACCCCACGGTTGACATTTTTATTATGAAGCCAATTAAACATGTAAAAGCAAAAAACTTCACGTAAAGTCATTATTCTTATGGATCATCGTCAACAATAAAGCAAAAAGTATATAAATTAAATACAAACGAATCAATGCGGACAATGCAAGCGATGAAAGTTCTGATTAACCGTGTGAATGTGACAGTGTGGGTTTGCTTGAGTGGAGAAGCAGTGATGGAATGAACGGCTTTGTATCTAAGCTGATTCAGATGCATGCTACTGTTGCCCCCTGGTGGTAACTAAGAGCATCACCGTGAGACGGAGGGCAGCGAGGACTCGTTCCTACGTGAAGGGAACATCTTGAAACTTCACGCTCATTTTCTAAAATGTTATTTTTAAAAGCCAACTTCATTGCAGCATAATTTATGCACGATAACCTGCATCCATTTAAATGGTACAATTCGATACAGATTGTTGACTGATACAGGAGAAGCACAGATGCAATCATTTTTGGAACCAGCGCTGCAGTTAAGATCCTGGATGTTGCTACCACCTCTGCAAGTTCCTCACCCCCATTTCAGTCCATCCCTCCCATAACCCCTGCCCCCCCCCCACACCCCCGGCAACCGCCTTCTGACACTGTGTCATAATAGTTTGCAGTTTTCTAGAAATCAGTTTGCATTTTTCTAGAAATTTATATAAATGGAATTATACGGTATGTATTTTGTGTCTGACTTCCTTCACTCAGCAAAATGATTTTGAAATTCATGGATGTTGTTGCCTGTAAAAGTAGTTTATTCTTTTTTATTACCGGACAGTATTCCATTGTATGGCTATACCACATTTGGTTTTTCCATGAATATGTGATTTTAATAGAAATTTTCTGTTCTCTTCATAGGAAGCATCTAAATTATTTCCTTATCATTTATAAGGAAGAACTTGCACATTACATTGTATATTACAAGAGAGCTTGCCCTCTAAAAATATATAATATCGATTAGAGGGAAATAACATCAATATGGCCTACTGAAGTTAGATTTTTTTTAGATGAAAGAAAGGGCACTTATACTGTGGAATTTCCTTGTTTACAAGAGAGTAAACTACAGTCACATGGGTAATAGTATTGATTTTAGTGAAAATCTTGGAATCTAGGGTATAAAATAGAATTATTTATTCTCAATAACCAGAAATGTAATTCTTCAGTTTAGGAAGTGGTATAAACAATGATACTGCTTTGTGCAAATGCCATTCAATCCTTATATGGTGCTTTGCTTGATAAGTGCATGGGAACAATGATGGACCAGTAATAGTCCTGTGACCACCACCTCCCGTCCCCCTCTCCCCCATCTTTTCTAGATTAGGGCAACCAGAGCAGCCCTTGCCCAGCCATGGGCCTGCAGGATGCAGTTCTCAGGCTGACGGGCAGCCTCAGGTCCTTTCTAGCAAAACTCAGGTGACCCTTGTAGAGAAGGTCGAAGAAAGTTCTAGGCACAACTTCCAGGCTTAACCAGCGTTGCTACGTGCTCTCAAACTCCATGGAAGAAGAGGCAGATTGCTCTTCAATGATTTTTTAAAGTTCCAAAATAGTTTTTCCTGTGGCTCTTCATTGAAAGAGCGCTTGAATCCCATCACTGATGTTACTTTCCAAAAGTCTCTGTCAGTTTTTTTCCAGGAAGAGTTAGGGGAGATCATCTTTTGCTTCAGTAAGACATAAAATGCTCCGATAGACGTATGTGGGCGTGGCTTTGCACCTGCGCTTATTCTCCCATGACTTCACGTCCGATGCTGCCTGCGCCTGAAATCCTTGATGTTACTCACCCACGTGCCTGTGTCTGCCGGTTTCTTTATTAGACATCGTTCACGTTGTCCTGGGCAGTGTATCTCCTCGCGAGGCACCCGGAAGTGCAGCAGACCCTGTACCGGGAGATAGTGAGGAATTTGGGGGAAAGGCATGTTCCCACGGCTGCAGACGTCCCCAAAGTCCCACTGGTCCGAGCTCTGCTTAAGGAAACCTTGAGGTAAAAGGCTCACCAAAATTCATGTCAAAAACCGTGTCCGTTAAGTCTCTGATTCTTTATCGCAATGAATGTGCTTTTGACTTAAAAACTGAGTCCTAAACCAATACTCCAGAGACCCTCGGTGGCAGAAATGTTTAGGAAGGAGGGACTCATGACCATTTTATTTCCTCTCTGCCCTCGACAGAGCAGCAGAAAGGCTATTCTGTTTTACAGTTAGAAATATTCATTTCTTCATAAAGATCTTTAGAGCCATCCTCGAACTTTGTACTCACTCTAGACATTTGTTTCATCAACTGTTTCCCAGTGTGTTCCTCGGGGGATAAAGCAGAACAGGACTGACTGTCAGGAAAATGTTCTGGGCTGAGTGGCCAGTTACTAGACGTGCTTACTGTGTTCCTCGTGTGAATGTCTAGTCAAGGTGGAGACACCAAGTAGTGAGGCTTGTTTACTTCCGGACAGGACTTTACTGACCCTGGGAAACGCCGGAGCATGAGGGATACGGGTGGTCTTGGGCAGGCTTGGGTGAGAGGTGGGATTAGGTGACTAGTGAAGGTTCTTCCTCCTGTGAGGCTCAGGATCGTGACCACAGCATTCCTCTGTGGAGGAAATGCCGTGACACGGAGCAAAGGTTATTTACAGAGTACACACTAAAATAATGCTTTTAAACCTGACTCGATAATGATATTTCAAGTTGGCTTGCATCTTCCATCTTCAGCATGCTGTTTAATCTCAAAAAAAAAAAAAAGAAGAGAGGGAGAAAGAAAGAAAAAAGCCGGCTGTGTGTTAACTGGTATTTGTCAATTAAAATTTATTCAGTTGGGCTTCCCTGGTGGCGCAGTGGTTGAGAGTCTGCCTGCCGATGCAGGGGACGCGGGTTCGTGCCCCGGTCCGGGAGGATCCCACATGCCGCAGAGTGGCTGGGCCTGTGAGCCATGGCTGCTGAGCCTGCGCGTCCGGAGCCTATGCTCCGCAACGGGAGAGGCCACGGCAGTGAGAGGCCCGTGTACGGCAAAAAAAAAAAAAAAAAAGTTTATTCAGAGTTTTCGTAGGATCACTTCCCAGAGAATCCAAAAACTGATGTAGCATTTCTCAGAATCTATTTCTTGGAGCCCTGAGTCCTATGAACTATTCCTTGATAAAGGGGTCCCATGCTTGCATAGATTTCAGAAATTCAGCATTATTCCTCTTGGGACTTGCCCGGTGGTGCAGTGGTTGAGAATCCGCCTGCCAATGCAGGGGACATGGGTTCGATCCCTGGTTGGGGAAGATCCCACATGCCGTGGAGCAACTGAGCCCGTGTGCCACAACTACTGGAGCCCACGCGCCTAGAGCCCGTGCTCCGCAACAAGAGAAGCCACCACAATGAGAAGCCCACGCGCTGCAACAAAGACCCAACACAGCCAATAAATAAATAAATAAATTTATTTAAAAGAAAAAAAAGAATTATTCCTCTTGGGAGCACAGTAGCATTTTAAAGGCTTTGCTTTGTGTTCTATAAATTTTTTTGACTGTGAGGCCCCAGAATGCTTCCCGGGCAAAGCTAGGGAGCCCATGAAGATCCTTGCAAGATTTCCTGGTTGAAACTGTACCATGTGTTACTTTTTAGAAGATGAAAATGGCAATATATCCAGACTTTTAAATGTTTAGTAACATATTTTGAAAGTCACCGCTGCCTTCCCGTCCCCGTTGGCTCTTTCTAGGCTGTTTCCAGTGCTGCCGGGGAATGGCCGGGTCACCCAGGAAGACCTGGTTGTTGGCGGGTATCTGATTCCCAGAGGCGTGAGTTTGGCGGACGTGGCGGGGCTGGGCTGAGCAGGGGCGGTTGGACTGGAAATTTGCTTCCACGTTTCGGATGTCCCTGTACCTAAGCAAATATCTGTAGATGTCCTTTTCTTCTGCATGTATTTTTATGATGAAGATGGGGCTTTACGAGCAAGGAGATGTGGATTGTGTGACGCTGCTCTGGCAAAAACAAAGGCAGATACTTCTGTAGCTCGCAGGCCTATTCAACCCTCCCTCCCCACCCCCACCCCCACCCCCCGCCGGAGGCCCCATGGAAGCAGCAGTTCCCTCCAGGGAGAGTTTCTGAAGGACTTGAATTGCCTTCTCTGTGGCTGCATTGATGTTCATTCCGGGTAGGGTGTGACTTGAAGGGGGACCTGCCATCCCGGGTCTGCATGGCCTCCTGGGCCCTTACATGACTCCTCCTGGCCCGAAGCATCTCTGGAGGGTCGGTCCAGCTGGGGCTGTGGCCTCTACTCTGCTTTCCCTTGATTAAGTTCTTTATTACTTTTCTGGTGAAAACGGTTTGCTCAGACCCAGCTGGCCCTCTGCCACTATGCCACCTCCTACGAGGATGAGAACTTCCCTCGGGCCAAGGAGTTCCGGCCTGAGCGCTGGCTGCGGCCAGGAAACCTGCGCAGGGTTGACAATTTCGGGTCCATCCCCTTCGGCTACGGGGCTCGAAGCTGCATCGGGCGGAGGATTGCAGAATTGGAGATCCACCTCCTTGTGATTCAGGTAGGGCCTGCGGGCTGGGCTTCAGGTGACTGGCTGGGCTCCGTTGCTGGATCAAGACTTAGGTGAAAACAATGAAACAGGATTTTGAAAACTTTCAGAGCTTCCTGTTAAATCTCTTTTATGTGTTAAAATGCCTCCCCTCCCCCTGCAGTAGCCACCTCTAGCCCCATGGCCACCTGCCTTGTTCCTTTCTTCCTTGGAGTCCCATGGGCAGAACTGGGATGTGTGTGTGTGTGTGTGTGTGTGTGTGTGTGTGTGTAGCAGGGATGGGTGGTTATAGGAGCCCAAGCACTCCCACAGGGGTTCTGCAGAAAGGCTAGTGGAAGGTGTCCAGCAAGCGGCCCTCAAACATTATGGACCATCCCGTCACCAGGAGCCCCTCGCAATCAGGTTCCTGGGCCCCAACCACAGAGAGAATCACTTGGTGGGTCTGGGGTGGGGCTCTGGGCGATTCTGATGTCAGTGGTCTAAGGAAGTGCACGTGGTGGGGCACGGGGGATCTCTACTTCTGCTGGTGGCTGCGTCTGCTGTTCAAGCCCCGGCCTCCCAGGCCTCCTTCCTTCAGAGCTTGTCACTGTCACCGTCACCATGGAGGGAGTCACGCTCACCCCCTGCCGCCCCCTCAGCACCTCGTTTTCTGTGAATCAGCCTTTTAAGCACGGAGGTGGCTCTCAAGCTTGTTTGGGTTTTGAAACATCAGGAAGGCTTGGTTTTGGTGAGAGAATACCTTCCATGCAAATCTCTAAATGCTCAAGTGTTTACTTCTGCGCTTGTCCAGTATCTGAGCTCAGGCTGCGGCAGGAACTAAATAATGTCTGAAGGAAATTTCATGAAAGAAAAGCCTGCAGTAGAGAAAATTCTATCCATTAGACTTTCCTGCAGATTTGGGGAGCCTGCCATGGAAAACCTAGGCCCAAGTTTCGGGAGCTATGACTCCAGGCTTTGGAAGCACGAGGGGATGACCTGGGGACCCATCTCCCCATTTCACCGATGAGGAAGCTGAGGCTCAGGGAGTTGGAGCCACTTGCCACGGTTGCCGCGTGGCAGGTGCAGGGCACGAGGCACGTGTCCTGTCTCCTGCCTGCATTTCCCCTCATGTTACCGAGGCGTTTCCTGCAGGCCGGCAGAGCCCAGGGCAGAGCACTCAGGGGTTGGGACCTTTACGGACGATGGCATCAGAGAGCGTAAGGGATGGGGAAGCCTGGTCGGCCTGTGGGGGATTGTGGGCATGGGAGGCAGGCTAGGGGGGCTGGAGGAGGTGAGGGGCCACGGCCAGGGAGGTGAGTGTGGAAGGGGGCGAGGAGGACACCAGCTGGGCCCACCTGGCTCTGGTGGGAAAGCTCCGGGGACCTGGTGAGACCAGCAGAAGTGGGTGCCGGCCTGTCCCTCGGTCGTCCCACCTCTGTGGGCACACGGGTGGCTGCAGTCCTCCAAGGTGAGAGGTGTCCCTTCCAGGGCAGCTGTCCCGGGCAGCGGTGGGCCCTATGGACGCTGGCCAGGCCCAGTCATGCCCAAGGTGAGAGGCATCTCTGTGTGGATGATGGACTCCAACCCCAGCTCTGCCAGTTTGTGGTTCTGACACTGCTGAGCATGTTTCCTCATCCACAAAATGGGCCAAATACCTGCCTTTTGGGTGTGTGAGGAATAAGAATAGTCTAAGCAGAGTCTGTGTTGTCTGCACACCTGCTCTCGGTGTCTGCTCACGGGGAATGTGTTTGGGAAGGTCCTGGCTCCATCAGTGCTGCTGTGTGTTCCACAACCATGTCTCTGACGGGCAGAGGCCATTTCCAGGCAGCCTTTCGGGGGGCTGACTGCTTCCTGGATGCTTCCCGCTTCTGACGGCCTGGACAACCATAGCGGATGCTGAGGGCATGAGGGCACAGATGGTGGAGTGGGAAAAGGGTCAGAAACTGGGTGTTTGGTGGTGGTGATGGGGGTTTTCTTTGTTTGCTACTGTAACATACACGGGTACCTGCTACAGTTCTTGCTTCAAGAGCCCTCATTTCTACTTGCGCAAGTATAGAGAGGGAACATCACTGTTTGTAATTGCCAAGAGGAAAAAAGAAGAAACAGAAGGCACAAATAAACAGTACTAGGAATGAGAAAGGAGACATAGCTACAAATGCAGTTGATTTTTTTTTAAATCAAGAAAATACTGCAAACAGCTTTTTTTCCCAATACATCTGAAGACTTAGATAAAATGTACAATTTACTAGAAAAGGTGTAAATTACCCAAATGGACTCAAAAGAAAGAGAACAGACCTTGAATACATTGAGTTGGTAGTAAAAATATCTACCACCAAATGTTCCAGACCTAGACAGTTTTATTGGCAAGTTTTATCAAACCTCCAATGAACGGGTGATCATCATCTTACACAAATAGAAAATAGAAAAAGGAAGTCTTGTTTTTATGAGACTTGTATAACCTTGAGAGTCACAACCCAGAATGGATAAAATAAGAAAGAAAAACTACAGGCCAATCTGATTTATGAACAAAGATGAAAAATACCTTAAATGAAAAATTGGCAAGCCAAATCCAGCAATGTATGGACCAGAAATGCACCATCACCAAATCAGGTTTGTTCAGGAATGCAAGGACGGCCCACCTCAAGACAGAATTCACCACAATGACAAATTAAGGGAGAAAAACTTTATGACCCTCTCCCAAAATAATTGATAAAATTCAACACCCATTCATGAAGAAACTCTCTTAGCACACCTGTAATGGAAGGGCTTTCCTTAAGCAAATAAAGAGTGTCTATCCCAACAAAACAGCGACTTATGCCTGTGGCCTATGGGAAGGGAAGGTTTGGCTTTAATGTTGCAATATTAATGTGTTTCCTTGAAAATAGGAACAAGACATTCATATTGCACGGAGAGTGGTTAGAGGATACACCCTTGCTCCTTGGGAACTGGAGACTTGAGGTGGAAGGGGGGTCTTGTTTTCTGGCTTTTACATCTCCTGTGTAGTTTTCATTTTTCAATGAGCATGTACTGCCACTCAGAAAGGAAAAAGGCCCTGTGGGATGTTGGCCATGGAGTGAGGAGACCTGTGTGTGATTCTTTCCTCTGCCACATGGGAACGCGCGAGCAGTCCTGTGAGGTCAGAACAAAGGGTCAGAGATTAGATGTTGAGGTGAAGGCATCTCGATGCCAGAATGTTCTAGAGTTGCCTAAATACAGGTCATTCAGCTTGGCTCTCTAACAATGACAAAGTAATGATTTTAGCCTGTGTCTTCAGTGCAGCCCTGCTCCCTGCCTGACCTCCACCCCCGGAGCCCCAGCTCACCCAGAGGACCCATCAGTGGGTCTTGCTGCTTTACCTGGGAGACCAGGCTGGAGAGTCAGGGTGGGCTGGGGCGTTTGCATCCCATGTGACAATATAGGTTCTCCAGCACTGATGCTCTCTTAGGAGGTTGGAGCAGGGGAGGGATGAATGGCCGGTCTGCTACCCTGCACCGTCCCCACCGGCCCTTGAGCAAGGCCCTGCCTCCCCTCCAGGAACCAGTGTAGTTTGACAGAGGTCCTTAGAGCAGGTTGCCTTTTGGGAGATTAGTGCTTGAGGCTGACAGATACTTAAGCGTTCTTTAAAACGTCCCAGTTTCACCCTGAGAGGTAGGGCTGCTTCTCCTTTTGAACTGCAGAAGTGAGAAATGGAATCAAAGGTGCAAATGAAGAATAGTTAAATTAAAGACAGTAATGGATAAAGTCTGACGGCTGTGCCCCTGCTGTGTCCGTACCACCACTGAAGTGACTGCAGACTCCACACCAGCAGGAACCCTGGAATTTCACTTGGTTCCTCTTTCCTCCTTGCTCCTTTGATTCCTTCTTTTTCCAGACCTACAGCGGAAGTAACACAGTTAGAACTTTGAACTAGCTAATAAAGTGTAAGTCATTTGAACATCTGTTACTGAACAAAGTTCACGTGCCCGACGCGCAGTGAGGCCAAACAAACCAACACGTCCGAGTTTCAAGCAGAGAAAGGTTTATTGCAGGGCCAAGCAAGGACATGGGTGGCTTATGCCCCCCAAACCCCGAACTCCTTGATGGTTTGTGGGGAGAAGCTTTTACAGGCAAAATTGGGGGTAAGGGCTGCAGGGCTGATTGGTTGGTGGTGAGGTAACAGGGCGGGGCTCCAGGAATCTTGTGCTCATCCTGAAGTTACCATCCTCCACCTGGTGGGGGACCTTAGTTCTGCAGAAGTGCTCAAAGATACTGTAACGTATATTTCTTGAGGAGGAACCAGAACCCAGCCCCAAGCCTGCACTGTTGTTTCTTAACTGCTCCTCCCTTGTTTCTGCATCCCCTCCCTTCCCTAGTTAGTAACTGCTCGAGTCCCCTCTTTGGAACTCAGGGAAGGTCAAGGAAGTCGTATGAAGCCTGTTTCCTCCAAGCAAGAAATGGGGACATGGAAAGGTTTTTGTGCCCAGGAGCCCCACAGGGTCCTGCTCCGTTTAAATTCTGATTGCGTATCTTTGTCCCATGGGCCTTGTTGCTCAGTGGGCATGCTGGGCTCCTGTATAGGACCTGACGCCCTGTTTCCCACATCTCTCGTTCCCTCGGCTCCCTGAAGCCGGGGCTGTCACAGGAGTATGGGCACTCCAGCAGTGCTGTGAATTTTCTGCTTCCCAATTTTGAAGTCCTTCTCTCTCTTTCTCTTCTTAGTTGCTTCAACGTTTTGAGATCAAAATATCTCCATGGACTAAAACTGTTCATGCAAAAACCCATGGGCTTCTGATGCCAGGGGAGCCCATCCACGTGCGTTTTGTTAACAGAAAGTGAGCCTGGCGTTTTCACCCAGCTGCCAGACCGACACACACCAGGTGTTCATGGGCCACAGATGATGGTGGGGGAGAAAAGGATCCCTTCTGGAGGCTGTCTTGGTTATAAATTGGCCTCCCGGTTTCTGGGAGACTTTGAAATCTTTATGCAAAGTAATGTGAGAAGATTGCTTTACTTTTGCATACCAGAGTTGCCTTTTCTTTTTTTTTTTTGGAGAAACAGCTGTTGCGAAGCCAGTGGCACTGAATTCTCATGCCTCATATGGTGTCTTACCCTTGGACTCACTATTCACTTACCCATAGTCTCCTCTGCATTTGGGCCAGGAAATGTTGGCATACATATAGATTCAGTGCTTGAATATACCTTCTCTAATACTGCATCCGGGACTGCCTGTTAGGATACAATTCCAACTTCTTGTTTTTAATTTGAAGAGGAAACATTAAGAGACCTCTGTAGAACAGACCTGTGGTGGCCAGGGGGGAGGGGAGGTGAGGGAGGGAAGGATTGGGAGTTCGGAATTAGCTCTATAGCACAGGGAACTATATTCAATATCCTGTGATAAACCATAATGGAAAAGAATATGAAAAAGAATGTATATATGTATAACTGAATCACTTTGTTACATAGCAGAAATTATCACAACACTGTAAATGAACTACAATAAAATAAATTAGAAAAAAAAAAAAAGGAATGCCTCTCTAATACCATAATTACGGGAAGAAAACACCCAGGCGACACCAAGCCCCAGATTTAGATCCTGCAGCAGGGCTCCGAATTAAAAGGACCATATTCTTATTTTTTTCTCCAAACTAATATTTCTTTTTCTAGTCATAGCTCCTAAAGAAGTTGAATATTAGTTTTTTGGTTTGAAAGAAATAAGAAATACGAAATAAAACACCTGGGGAAGTCAAGAATAATCAGATTTTCTAACCGAATCTAAGTACTCAGCAGATGTACAAGAACTGAAAATCTGAGCACGTGAAATTTCATTGCCTACATTGAGAAAAATGAATTAAACAGACACTGTAGAAAACAGTGTAACTTTAGAACATTTTTATTGCAAGGAAAAATAAATATGTAAATGGACATTCTCTAGACAAAATCATATTTTTATCTTCATAGTCTTATTTTAAATATCCAAACTGGAAATGTGATCCAGGTGTTGGTGCTGACAGAAGGCTCTGACTGAATGCCTTGGGTGCCTAGGAGCCTTCCAATGTTCTGTTGCTCAGCTCATGCCACCTGTTGGTCGCTAGTAAAAAACACAATTTTATAACATTCTCTCTGTGCCTTCATGCTTGAGACCTCTTAGTCTCAATTCCATAAGTCTCTTTACATAATCCTTACCCTCAAATCACTTTCCTACGAATATATACCATAAATCTTTCTTCCCCTCTTTAGTTGGTCATTCTGCAAAGTAATCCTTAAATAAAATAGAAATAGTATCAATTTCACATACCATTTTTGTTTGAGTATATAAAGTGCGATGACAGAATAACTTTAGTGTGAGTACTGTAAAAATATGTAGAGTTAAATATGAAATTATGTCATGAACTGAAAAAATGTTGGATTCCTTTGAGTTAGCAGTATATATATTAAATTTTATGAACTAGATACAATTTTATTCTGTTGGAGACTGAAATTTAAAAATACTGAGACACCAGGAAACTTGAGGTGAACTCTTATTCTACAAGGTGACGCTCTAGTGATGTGTGGCCCTGCCCAGGGATGGGCACAGACAGGTGGGTCGCACCTGTGCCCACCTCTTGGTCTCCACAGACAGAGAGAGAGGCAGCCAGACCGTAGGAGCCTCCTGGTGTGACCAGCAGGACGTGCATGGCACCAACTGTGAAGCATTCTTGCCAAAGAAAGTGAAATCGAATCAGTTAAGTCTCTAGATCCACCAGTTTATGGGAGATTCAGGGTATAGAGGGGCATGTTAAAATTGCATGCGGATGCAATCAGCAAAATCCAGCCCACAGCAAAGTCTACAGGACAAATAACTTATTTCCCCAACAAATAAGTGACAAGAAAAAAGAAAAAGAAGGAGGGGGAACTGTTATAGATTAAGAGATTTAAAGGATAATTAGGGAAATTTGAACAATGTGTATTTGATGATATTAAGGGATTATTGTTACATATTGTTGTTTACATTAACAAGAGAGATCTTATCTTTTGGAGGTCTTCCTTAAAGATATAAATATGCAGTGTTTATGGATGGAATGTTATGATATCCTGGATTTGCTTTAAAATAACCCAGCTTGCTGTGGAGGGTGGGTAATGTGTGTGTGTGTTGGGGGGTGGGGGGCTGGGGGAGGAAAAGATGAACCAAGATTGGCCCGATGTTGATAAGCGTAGAAGCTGGGTGATGGGTACCTGGAGGATACAGGTCTCCATTCTCTGCTTTGTGTCCATGTGAATGTTTCCATAATAAAAAGTGTCTTCAAAAACCAAAGACTTGATTGACTAATAATCTCATAGTTCATTTCTTTTTCAAACTGTTTACAAACCAGCAAAACTGACTGTAAATTAGGTTCTTCAGGGAGCTATACCTTCTCTTTCAATAATGGTTAGAAACCATCGATTTAACTACCTAAAGTACAATTGTTGTGCTCAGATTTGAGTGACCTGCCAGACAGGGGTCAGCTAGCCCTCGTAGCTGAGAAGCCAAGGCAGGGTACAATTCCAGGGGTATTAGTAAGGAAAGGGGAGCAGGGCTAGGTGCTGCCACCAGGGAGGGGTGAAGTTGGTAAAAACTGTTAGGTAGCTAGTCAGACATGAGCGGGTGCTGCCCCATCCTGGAGGGGGTCATCTCTCCCGGCCCCCCACTGGTAATCAGAGCACGGCCAGAGATCCTCCCTCTTCCAGTCAAGGACCACCGCTGAGTTTCCAGGCTTATCTGGACTAAGCAGGATAAAATCGCCAACACAGGTTGGTGCAGGGGCACCAAGACCTAAAAAGTGACTCAGAGTAACCCAGGGCCCATTCCGTATTTATAATAAATTAGCATTGCGTTTTTTGCCCCGCCCCTTCCCCCATGCTTTTCGCTTGGGTGCTCCTCGGTGGTAAGCACCTGCGCAGTAAGAGAAACGTCATATAACCTAAAACTGTCAATCAACTTGGCAGTCAAATGACGTAGGGCGTGGGGAGGGACTGCCACCACTCTAATAAGCCCAGCCCAGCCCTGACTGCAGGGCTGCTTCTGGAGAGCGTACTTATGCTCTGCTTCGTAAAACTTGCTGCCTAAACCTGCTCTCTGTCTCTTGACTGAATTCTTTCCCTTGAGAGGACAAGAACCTAGGAATCGCCGGTCGGCCGGGAATAAAACCACTGTTTGTGGGACAGTAGGGGGTGGTGAGGGCCTGCGGAGCACGCTCCCTGCAGGAAGGTTTTCAAACTCCATTTCTAAAAATGTGCTGGTCAAAACTAAAGGGGTCAGCAACTGGCCAGGCTGAGAGGCGGCCGAGGCAAGGGGTACCCCCGGAGGCCCAGGAGCCGTGCCCACGGGGACTGTGGTGCTCAAAAGCAAGAGGCAGACCCGGGGGGGACGGGAGCTGGGGCCAGTCACCGAACTGAAGGAAGAGCTGATCAGCCAGGAGCCAGGAAGCACTGTCCGAGGGCCTTGGCTGCAGGATCTCTGAGTGACCGGCATCCCAGCTGGAGGGTCCCCTTCCCCAAGGCGTTTGACTGGCTTGCCTTGTGATCCCTAGGTGCCCTGACCAAAGGAGGAGGGGGGCGGTGGGAATGCCCAGCTGGCAAAACCAGAGCTGCCAGCAGACTGGCATCCCCAGCTCCTGGCTGGGCAGAATTTTCAGGGTGAGACTGAAAACAACATACCCTCTCTCACGGCCGTCCCTTCGAACCGGTGCTGTGGTCACTTCTAGCCTCAGATGAAAGCTTGGGCAGTTTTAATACGTTTTAGATCACTCCTAGAAAAGGAAAAAACCTCCAGTTACTTTTAGCCACCGTAACACTCTCAATCACGGATGAAAACGTCCAGTCCGGTGTAAATAAACATCCCAGAACTTCGTGTAAAGTTGGGCACTTCCACTCCCCCAGCTCTGGGCAGCTCCGGCTGGGAGCCTGCCGGGGGCGGGGGTGGGGGGTGGGGGTGGGGTGGTGGTGGAAGTTGGCTTCTTCTTCCTTTTCTGCGTTGCCCCCACCCCCCACCCCGCAGCCCTCAGGCTATCTGTCTTCTCTGAGTTTGGAGCTGTCGGGAGGAAGGAGGGCGGGAAGCTTGCTCCCGTCTGATGCAGGAGACCTGGCATCAGGCTCTCCGGCCTGGGCGGGTGTCCCTCCACTCCTCTGGGGCTTCCTAAATGAAAACCTGCAGCTGCAGGGCCTCTCCTCCAGGCGGCTTCGTGACTGTCCCCTCAGCCCTGGGCATCCAGCCTGGGTCGCGTGGCCCCTCCCAGCTCTCCTCCTGGCCAGAATCTAACCCCCTGCCTGACGCCCTGTTGTCCCCACCCTAGTGGGTATCATCTCCTCCCCGTGTGTCCAGTGCTGCGTGGGCTCACTTTCAGGTGGTGGGAGCTGGCCTCAGGTCTCGGGAGCCCGCAGACTCCAGGCAAGGGGGATCAGGCTCCCTCCGAGTGTCTCTGGAAGCCCCCCTCACTCAGCTGGGGGAGGGGAATGTGGGGTCCCTGCCACCCACTGCTCTATTTGCAGCTGTTGCAACTTACCTGAAAAGAGACATTCTGGGTAGGGGGGGAAGGTCCTGGTCCCTTGGTCACTGCTCCTGTCCACAGATCTGGGGCCTGGCTTTGAGCTGAGCCAGGGATAGGACCGGCCCCCACTGGATGCCAGCCGCCAACACGGAAGTATGCGCCTGGGCTTCCTGGCTCTTGCAGACCAGGGGCAGCGCCGGTGTAGAATGGACACTGAACCCTGCCTGGAGTGGAGTAGGGTTGGGGTGGGCGGCAGTTCCTGACAGCTGCTTAGAGCCCCGTGTCTTCTAGTTCTGCAAGCTTTTCCTTTAAAGTGCTAATTTAATTGTACTGGGATCTGCATGGTGTGGGGACTTGCTCTGTGGCCTCATACAGGGTTAATTTATGAAAATGTTCCATGATGCTTGCTGGGTTCAGGGTTCCACATCTGCCTTATTATGCCAGGCTTGCTGTTGTGCTGTTGAAAACATCTGTATACTTCTTAATGTTTGCCTATCCATCACTGAAAATGGTGTCTTAAAAATTCCCACTCTGATTGTGGAGTTGTCAGTTTTTGCTTAATATAGCTTGAGTTCATGTTGTTAGATGCGTCCGAGTGTTGTTTTATCTTCCTGGTGAACTGTTCCATTTATCGTTATGTGGTAATGCTCTCGGTCCCTCCAGGTACTTTGGCCTTAAAGTCTATTTTTATCTGACAGTGATTTAGCCATCCCAACCTTATTTGTTAATATTTACGTGACATTTCTCTTCCTATTAGTTCCCATCTCCACAGTCTTTTACTTTCAATCATACAGTTTTCTTTTGTTTTAGATGTGTCTCTTGTAAACAGAGTATAGCTGGATTTTTAAAAAATCCCACTTGGTGATCTCTGTCATTTAACTCTTTTTT